TGAATGCTTAGTAAATATGGCAGAGTCGAATGCCGTATTTCACTCCAGGTATTCTCTATTGAGAACTGGCAAATTGAGAACTGGCAAATAGAACATCCAGATGTGGGGTTTGGGCACTGCTATCTCTACAAGTTTATTCTTTGGATTTCTGTCCTGCTGCTTTATTTCATCTCTGTATCATTAAGTTCCAGACCATCCCCTGCCATTCTTGCCCTTAACCCCCAGGTGCTGATGGCTTCATCTCTAATATCAGCCAACAAATGTGCCTAACAGCAGAATTGCCTCTTGGAGAGACCTGATTCCACATCACTCTCCTTCCCCTCCCCCACCCCCCACCCCCTCATCTTCTCTGTGGACCTTTTGATGTGTGCCAGTGCCCACGTCCACCCTACCTCCTTTTCTCCTGGGGACCGGTGCTCTAGGTTTGGATCCACCTTTGGAATCACATTTGTGTCTAACAGATCACCAAACTCCAGGTTTATGCAGGGGTCACACGGGGGACCTTGCCCTGTTCTGGGATTTATCTGGATTTCTTCCATGGATCCTACCTTATCTCCATTGCCGGAGCAGACTCATAAAACATGGTTGTTGTCTTTTCTGCTTCAGGTTAAATGAGAAGTCCCAATTGCTTCACAGCAGCCCAGGGGTGGGGGGAGTTCTCTGCCTAGTTAAGCCTGGTATATACTGGATTAAAGAAAATATAAAAGAGCATTAAATGAAATACTGTCCATCATGAATATACTAGAGGGAGAAACAGGATGCAGAATTTCCCAAACTTAACTACTGATCCTTTTTTTCACGGACCAACCCATGAGACCATTCTACAGAATGTGCTTTGGAAAAGTGTTATTTATTTTTTTCTTGGTTACCCTGGGGGCTCTTTGTTTCAAATGATCTGTGTGTCTCTTTAGTCATGAGGTCCAGAAAAAAGAGCGGGGGGGGGGGGGAACTGCGTCGGGAATGGGCTAACATGGATTGCATGGGATGGAAGCATTACCTTGAATCTTCCACACCACTGGTTCCTTTTTCAACAACTGAGGGTTCTGCTTGATTTTCCGCCACAAAACTTCTCTGCTAATCACGGCACGCTTGTGTAACTACGGGTACCTTTTTTCAGCTCTCCTCGTATTCCAGAGTCTTTTCTTCCTCATGTTTATACCATATGTCCTCCAGGTGCAACAATCTGTGTGGTGGATTGAAGAATGGCAATGGCTTTTGGTCAGTGGTTTTTGAGCAGCTCTGCAAAGCATATTTTGCAGAATAGCTAGTCTCGTGTCTGTCTTTACATATTGGGCATGGTTTTTTTTTTTTGTTTTTGCTTTTGTTTTTGTTTTTATGGCAGGAATTTTGTCTAATGCACCTCCATGGTGCCGAGCACAGTCTAGACCCAGTAGGTGTTTAAGAAATATTATTGAATTGGGGTGCCTGGGTGGCTCAGTAGGTTAAGCATCCGACTTTGGCTCAGGTCTGTGAGCCAAAAAGTCAGGTCAGGACTTTTGCTCATCTGTCTGTGAGTTCAAGCCCCATGTTGGGCTCTGTGCTGACAGTTCAGCACAGAGTTCAAGCCCCACGTTGGGTTCTGTGCTGACAGTTCAGAGCCTGGAGCCTGCTTCAGATTCTGTATCTTCCTCTCTCTCTGCCCTTCCCCCACTCATGCTCTGTCTCTCTCCCTCTCTCAAAAATAAAAAATAAAACATTTTTTAAAATTTAAAAAAATATTATTGAATTTACCCAAAATGATCCACAAACTGAATTAAAACTTAGCCACTCTCTAAAGTCAAGGACATGATCTATCTGTCTCCTATGAGAGTTCTGTCTGTCCTTGAATAGTTTTAACCACTTCCCTTTCAAGATAAATTCTAGGGTATTTTGTTCCTTAATATCCAGATTGATTTTGATTTTGTTAGAAAATGTATAACCGAATACGAGATGTCAGCCAAAGTAAAGTTTCTAAATTTTATTTCAAGCTTCTCATATTTTTCCATGGGCAATCCCAGATTTTTAATTGCTCACTCCACTGGGAATTCTCCCAATGTTTGCCATGGTTTCATCATGTGCTTTTTAACCTGTCCAGATACATGACAGTTTTGTTTTTTTTTTCCCAAAAATGATGTTTGGGCCAGGCCTGGGTTGGGACAATACTTTCTTTTGCTCTAATATAATTTGCATTCCTAACATTAAGCACATTACCACCGGATTGCCTTAATTAAACGCACACACGTATGTATAAGAAGCCATGCCCTTTCTTTCTTGATCCAAAGTTTTTCACCCCGCTTGCAACCTCCCAGAAGATTAACTGAAATCAATCAGTTGGTTAATTTCTAACACAGCTCATGTATCTTGTTCTCTATCTCTATTGCTCTTCCTCATTTTCTTTCTCCCCCCATCACACAAAGCACAAAGAGACACATTCTTCAAGTCTTCAAGTTGGCAACAGAAGACTCTAATGAGCATATGAAAGACAAGAGGTCTACAATCTTAACCACCTTCTAGTCCCTTTAATGGGTTTTCCCATAGGAATTTTCTTCCTTTTTTTTAATGAAGAAAATTACAAAACACTTACTTTAGTATGTGTCTCTAAAAGATAAGAATATTTAATAAGAAAAACCATACTACCATTACCACACCAAAAAAGTAACAATCATTTCATAATAGCAAAGACCTGGGTGGTGTTCCTGATTTCTAATTGTTTCATAATGTCAAATGTTTATTGATTAAAAAAAATCAAATTCCAAATACATTCCACACATTGTGGCTAATTCGTCAATATGGCTTAAGTCCTTTTTAGTGTATAGGTTTCCTATCCATCTCTTTCTCTCCTTGTAATTTATTAATGAAACTCAGTTGTTTTTCCAGTATTATTTTCCAGGGCTGAATTTTGTGGAACAAATCCTTGCGGTGTAGTTTAATATACACAATATTCTGAAATTTGGCTGTAGCCTGTTTGATTATATTTACACTTCTATGCCATCAAGTCACTTAAATATAAGATAAATGCCATTGGCTCTTTCCCAGATAACTTTTCCATTCAGTAAATTCCCTGTTGTAAATTTCCAGTTCAGAAATTTTCTCTGCTGGGGAGCCTGGGTGGCTCAGTTGGGTTAAGCCTCTGACTTTGGCTCCGGTCACGATCTCATGGTTGGTGGGTCCCAGCCCAGCCACAGGCTCTGTACTGAGCCTAGAGCCTGCTTCGGATTCTGTGTCTCCCTCTCTCCCTGCCCCTTACCCACCCGCTCTCTGTCTCTCACTCTCTCAAAATAAACATTTAAAAATTAAACATTTAAAAAAGAAATTTTCTCTGCTTATTAAGTATGCGCACAACAAAAAGAAAAAGAAAAAAAAACCCAAACTTGTGGGGAATTTCTTCTAAAAGTCCATTAGAGGGCGACATTTGCTTTAAAATTATGTTTCCCTCACTAAGTTTTAAATTGCATCATATTTGTTTTCGAATTTTTGGCAAGTTGAACCTCAATACCTACTTTTCACTTCTTATGTCACTTCTATCAGATGTAGTCACATCTTGTGTCCTCTGTTAACTTGATCTCTGTGAACTTGGGTCCCGTATCACTTTCATCCTGGACTCGGTTTCCACTTCCGACCACGAGGCGGCGATATTGCATAAATAAAGACCGCAGAGAGGCCAAATTAAGCCAAACTGCTAAAGAAAAAGGAGTTTCACAGGGGAAGGGCCATTAATCTCAGAAGGAAAGAGACAAACCAGGTATTTCTAATTCGTATCCACCTCACGGCCTCAGGTTGGAACTGTGTAAGATAGAGCACAAAGGGGCCATTCAGGAGCACGGGAAACTGACTTGGGGGGCAACGCGTGCACAATCTCCTCCTTGACTTTGCGGTTCCACGGGAGGGAGCATATGCACATTCGAGCACGTGTGTGCGAACAGTTGCAGGACAGCAGCCGGACGGAGTGGACTGGGCGTGGCGCTGCTGGAAAAGAATCGCGCTCCCACTGACCGCTTCTGGACACAGGCCCTGAAACAGGTTTACAACGGCACCGCTTTGGAGGACAGCACTCATTTCACCCCGGGGGGGGGGGGGAACCAAGTCCCAAGGGGGCAGGGGGCTTGCCCACTGGCACACCATTAGGAGGTGGTGCATGCAGCCAGCTGTTCGGAGCGCAGGCCAATACTCGGTAAATGTCTCACCTTCACACACCCGCTGGGACATTCGCACTTCAGACAGAAAGGATCCACCTGACAGCGAGCAGTACTGTACAGCTGTAACAGGGAAGTCACGGGCCCTTTCGAGAATCTGACACAAATTAGGACCCTCTCCCCCGAGTAATACTCAGAAAACTACGTAAGTTCAAGTGGTGGGGAGAGAGGGGATCACAGGCCTCCTGGAGCCAGTCTATTCATCAGATCTGCTCCGTTTGCAACCTGGATGGCAACGTAAAGAAAACCAGACGGATTCGGGAGAAGCAAGAAGGGGGGTCCCTCCTCCCTCTAAACACAAGGGGAGTTTCATTCATCTAGGAAAACGGGAGGGGCTTGCCAGAAAGTCCCAGAGGGAGGTGGGGTGCCTGGTTTGTGCCCCCTCCCCCACTCCTCCCACCTCCAGACCCACACTTGATAAGTCAGCCTTGGTGGTAGGCTGCAGAGGGCTTGAAAAGGAGCTGCGAACGCCCAAAGCCTGGACGGCGGGCGGGGGGCTGCTCACAGGGGGTTTTCCTTTAAATTTTTCTTTAAATCGTCAGCTCCCGAGCCTAACGCTTCGACCCCTCCTTTCCCGGTCTCTGCTCCCACCTCCCAGCGCGCTCCGCCGCTCGCCGACTCTCCCTTCCCCCTCCTCCACCTTCATCCCGGCGGCTTCACCCGACCCCTCGGCCTCCAGCCCCGCCTCCGCCGCCGCGGGGTTTCACCCGCAGCCCAGTGAAATCTGCATAGTGACCGCCCCTCGAGGAGATCATTGGTGCAGCTCATGCCCGTCGCGGACGATGATTGGTGAGGCGCCCCGGGTTATTTGCATGCCGGCGGCGGCCGGGTACCCAGCTGTGCGGGCCGCCAGCGCCGCGCAGAAGTTTGCCGAGCGCTTTCTCGCCGGCTGGTCCTGGACTCGCGCGGCGCCGCGAGCCGCCTCCTCCTTCTGCCGCCGCCCTGTTCGCTCGGGATTCCTTCTCTGCGGAGGACAGACGCTCTGCCGGCGGGAAGCTGAGGTGGGCCAGGGGGAGTGCCGAGGAGGAGCGGCGGGGACCGTTCCAGTGACAGCTTCGCTTCGGACACCGGGCGCGTGGGGCCCCGGCCGCCGAGAATCTCTCCCACCTTCCCCCCGGCCTCCGGGCGGACGATGTGGACGCCGAGAGGAAGGAGGGCGTCCCGGAGAGCCTAGAGTCTGTTTCTGCCCACTTGGGAAAGGAAGCATGGAGTTGTGAGCGCCCCTTGCTCGGCGAGGCCGCGACCGGCAGGCTCCCCATGGCCGGGACGTATAGCTCCACTCTGAAGACGTTGGAGGACTTGACCTTGGACTCCGGGTATGGGGCCGGGGACTCGTGCCGCTCACTCAGCCTCTCGTCCTCCAAGTCCAACTCGCAGGCGCTCAACTCTTCGGCGCAGCAGCACCGCGGGGCGGCCTGGTGGTGCTACTCCGGCTCCATGAACAGCCGCCACAACAGCTGGGACACGGTGAACACGGTGCTGCCCGAGGACCCCGAAGTGGCGGACCTCTTCTCGCGCTGCCCGCGCCTCCCCGAGCTGGAGGAGTTTCCCTGGACGGAGGGAGACGTGGCCCGGGTGCTTCGCAAAGGCGCCGGCGGCCGGCGGCTGCCCCTGTTCTCTGCCGAGGCGGTGCGGCGCCTGGCTGGGCTGCTCCGCAGGGCGCTCATCCGAGTGGCCCGCGAGGCGCAGCGCCTGAGCGTGCTGCACGCCAAGTGCACCCGCTTCGAGGTGCAGAGCGCCGTGCGCCTGGTGCACAGCTGGGCGCTGGCCGAGAGCTGCGCGCTGGCTGCGGTCAAGGCGCTGTCACTGTATAGTATGAGCGCCGGGGACGGGCTGCGCCGGGGCAAGTCCGCGCGCTGTGGCCTCACCTTCTCCGTGGGCCGCTTCTTCCGCTGGATGGTGGACACCCGCATCTCCGTGCGCATCCACGAGTACGCGGCCATCTCGCTCACGGCCTGCATGGAGAACCTGGTAGAGGAGATTCGGGCCAGGGTGCTGGCCAGCCAGAGTCCCGACGGTGGAGGGGCTGGGGGCGGGGAGGTGTCCGCCGAGGCCCTGGAGATGGTCATCAACAACGACGCCGAGCTCTGGGGCGTCCTGCAGCCCTATGAACATCTCATCTGTGGCAAGAACGCCAATGGTAAGTGTGCGGGTCTCGGCCACGGACAGATGGGAGAGAAATCCCGCCCTGGGCTACCCAAGGGCGAAGCTGGTTGAGTGTGCCAGGATCTGGGAGAAAGCGTTTGTTCTGAGGGTGGAGTCCATTAAATGGCTCTTGCCAAAGATAGTTCTTCTGATGCCTGTCTTTTGGAGGACAAAGTTGAGGTTGAAGAACATTGTGTTCTTCGTATTGTTGTCACTATCTGGATGCTGTTCGCTGATTGAGGCTCTTGACGAAGCCATTCCTTAACTTCATTTGACGCGAAGGTTACTGCCCTGCCTCTCTTTGCCTTGCTTAACTGGGTCGCTAGTGGTCTTTCCCCAACAGCAGGGCAGATGGACTGTGGTTCTGACCCTATAGCCCAATAGCAGCAGCCAGAGGATCCAAACTCTAAGACCTGAGTTTGGGATAAGTGAGAGGGGAGGAAGGGAGCAGGAGGCCCAGGATCGGGTGCAGCTGCCTTGGGCTTTGCTGGGTTGAAGGGTGCACTTCAGGCCTTCTCCTGGAAGGTGGAGAAGTAGCGGTGGGTTCTTACCTGTATGTGCCTAAGACAATGGAAATTGACTGCTGAATTCTCTTTCTGGAAAGAGAACCACATACGTGGCTCCTAGGGCCTGAATTTCTAAGCTGTCACCAACCGAGTGAGCAATTGATTAAAACCCTGTGTTGTACTAAATGCGCAGCCTTATGGGCTTTCCTGAAAGAGATGATGATCCAACAAACTTGCGTATGGGGAAGAGGTGTGGGGGGTGGGCAGCTGCGTGATGAGGAAGGAACCACTCAGTAGTTGCATTTCTCTGAAGGAGGACAAGGCTTCAGTGCAAAGGGTGGAAGGGAAGCACTTGACCTTCTCCCTGGTAAGGTTAGGGTGTGACATACATTTAACAGCAAACTGCCTACCAGACTCCAGTTTCAGAAGTCAGCAAACCATAAATTATTTAGAATGGTACCATGGCTAGACATCCATGCAGCTGGATCAGAAGGCCATTTTTGGGACAGCTTTCAGTGGCAAACAAGTAGTCAGCAGAAGAGGCCAGGTGGGTTCTGAAAAGGGAGAAAGGGAGTCAACTTTAAATGTGGTTGAACATCGTAATAGCTAAAATTTAAAGTGAGCACAGTTAACAGTATTCTCAGTCACTGTTCTTAGCACTTTAGAGGTTAAGAAACCCTAGCAACCCCATTAGGTAGGTACTTCATAGTATTATCCTCATCATACAGATGGGCAAACCAAGGTACCCAGCAGTTAAGCAGTTTGCGCAAGATTACACAGATATTAAGTGACAAAGCTGGAATTTGAGCCTAGGCAGGCTCCAGAGTTCAAGCTTTTAGCCATCAGGGAGGAGGTAACAGCTTTGTTTTTAATTAGTCCAGTTACCAAGGGGGGCAGCTGACATTTGAGGCCTCATTTAGAGGCCTAGAAGATAGTTTGTATGTAGCAGCATGGCTTTGCTTAGACCTTCCTTGGTTTTTGGTTTTCATTCTGGCACCACCAAAGGAGATGCCTGGAAGAGAAGAGCATTTGCCTTTTAATTTTCCTCCTCTTAGGTCAGAGTTCAGGTCAGCCCAGAATCTCTGTTGATGATGTCACAGCTGATAATTGTGCTTTGCCCTCTGGGTTTGTGGCAGCAAACGTGGGCTCCAGGAGAGGAAGTGGAGGGCAGGGGGATTTCCACCCACCGTCCTAGCCCAGGGGAAGAATCCTGTACTTTGGGCTGAGGGGGAGGCCCAGACTGAGCTCAAAGAAGTAAAGCCCCCTAGGGGAAAAGACTGAGGCCCTGTGCCTATAAACCAGACTAGAACAAAAATGGAACAGTAGGTGCCAAACAAACCCCAAAATGCCCTGCACACACAGCTGGTGCCCAGCAGGTTGAGGAACTTCTCAGTTTTTCCAACTGCAAATTGGAGCTAGAAAGAACAGCTGCCTCTCCAGGGTCCCCTGAAGATGCAGAGTAGCCAGAAGTTGCTAGAACACAGGTGTCTTCCACTAAAGGGCTTATCCCAAAGGGCCATTTCTTATCTAGGGTCATCACTCCTTGGGATTTTCTTTGCAGGATGGGTTTTTGACTCCCTAATTGACCCTCTTCTCCCATGCCGAGCAATCCTTCTTTTTTTTTTTTTTTAACGTTTATTTATTTTTGAGACAGAGAGAGACAGAGCATGAACAGGGTTGGGGCAGAGAGAGAGGGAGTCACAGAATCTGAAACAGGCTCCAGGCTCTGAGCTGTCAGCACAGAGCCCGACGCGGGGCTCGAACTCACGGACCGTGAGATCATGACCTGAGCCGAAGTCGGACGCTTAACCGACCAAGCCACCCAGGCGCCCCTGAGCAATCCTTCTTAAGCCACGGTGGTCAAGATGGCAGGACTGCACTTGACAGCAAAGCTCCCTGGATGTTCAGAGCAAGCATCTCCCTCTGTGCATTCCCTGGTTCCAGGGAAGTCTCTTGCAGGCAAGGCGACCATTCGCTTCCACTTAGTAACATGGATGCTCATTTTCTGTAGGTGAGAACCTGGCCTCAGTAAACAATAACTAGGCTGATTTATGAAGTCTTTTTAGACAGAGTGGGATGTATGTTTGGTATAGGAGCAATGGATTACTTATGCCTGAAAGCTGACTTCAGAGGGAAGCAGAAATTGCTTCTGTAAGGAATGGGCGATCCAAACCTTTGTTACACTGAAGCCCAAGGCCAGCAAGGTTACCGTTTACACAGCTGAAGACCAAGTGAGAAATGGCTACACCTGGGAGGAGGGTGCCGGTTCATATTCTTGTCCTGCTGGTCTTCCCTTCCAATTATATCTTTATTGTTGTTGTGCCTGCTAATTATACAGCATGGGCACATGTATTTGACTCAGCTATATAGAGCTGTTAAACTTTTAATGTCTTCCAACCAGGAATTTAAGGGCCCTAATCCATCTATTCCTGGCCATTACTCAGAGTGCTGGGCAAATATGGTTTTGCTCAGCCCAAGATGGATGATAAAAGTTCTGTAGTGTTTATACGACATGATCTCAGCTTCACAGAGCAGCAGTAGTTCAATATCACTTGCTCGTTTGGTATCGATGTCCATGTTCCCAGGGTAGTGTCATTAAGTGATGATATCTTCATGGCTTCCTTACAGGACGTAGAGAAACCACTTTAATAGAGTGGTATTTATAAACACGGACCTGGCAGAAAATAGAAGCTTCTTGCATTCACTGCCTTCCTCCTCCCTGCCCTCTCTTTCATATCCCTGTGTGTAAGTTTGATGCTGAGACTCGCTCCTGGGTTTCTTCTTGGCCCTTTGTCTTTAGGAAGCTTTCATGAGGGTCCAGAGCATTTGAGAAAATCCTCTCCAATTCCGAGGCTCTGTGTTAAATGATAGGATTTTGCTTAGAGCATTCTAACTCCAAAGCTGTAACCAGGAAGTGCAGGAGGATAGTAGCTCTGTCACAGTGGTAAAGAGTGCAAACTTTGGAGTCCCAGTGAGGGTTTGGAGCTCACCTCTGCTATTTATATGAGTGACCTGAGGCGTATTTCTTAACTGTTGTCATCTGTAAAATGGTTGGGGGTTGAGGGGGCGGGGAGGTAATAAGAGCACCTAACTCATAAGGTTGGTATGAGGATTAGGTGAGATCATAGATTTAAAGATCTTAGCACATAGTACATGCTCAGTAAATGGTAGCAGTTCATTCAGCAGATACTGAGAACTGACCCTGTGCCCACTACTGTTAAAAGTGTTGTGGATTAAGTGCAGAGGGGGGGCGAGGAGGGTCCTCCTCTCATGAAGCTTATAAATGAGTGACAAATACAGATTGCAGTACATTTTATTAAAAAAAAAAAAAGAGAGAGAGACAAGATAATGGTATAGTGTGGCCAGAGCTAATTTAAATGACAGTCAAGGATGGCCTGTCTGGCGTTTCATTAGTACAGGCAATGTAGCAATACCACTGCAGTCTAAGAGTCTGTAGGCAAAACAGAGTGAGGACTTTTCTGAATTATTCAGTTATCTATCGGCTGAGGCAAGTCCCAACGATCTCATTTCCAGCCAAGGAATAAAAGGGCTGCATCTATGTTGGGGATGTGCTGTTCTCCTAGTTGTAGGACTCATTTAGCAAGGAGATTATAAGATTTCACTGAGATAATCAACCAAAGGGGCAAGGGTTAATTGAGCCGCTAGTTGCTATTTAATCAGTTTCCACACCTGGGTAGTCTGAGGGAGTGTCCCTTCTCCTTGACTATTTTACTGAAGCCCAGGGAGCTGGTAAAACTGAAACAAAGCAAGCTTTGGAAATGAAAACTTATTTTTTTCCCTTGAGTGCCTGAGAAATGCAACCCAGCCTTAAGTAGTTAGAGGAACAAGGTGGAGTTGTTCTGCTTTTTCCAGAAAGTTTTACCTGACTCCTCCACCCCCGATTGGAAGTGCCACTTCTCCTTCATGGTTCCGCGGCACCCAGAGCTTATTCTTGGGTTGTTTCCTGCTTCTCCCGTGAGCTCGTTGTCTCCCCTCTGCCTTACACAGCGCCTGGCACGTAGCAGGTGCTCCCTAAGTATTTGTCATACAAATAATTGATTCCGCCACACAGAATTGTTTAATTCCGGAAATTTAACATGCAATCCTTTGACACTATGGAAGAACCTTCCCCCTTTTCTACCATGGCAGAGAATTTCGAGTCCTTGATGAATAGAGGCAGTGTTTTGGGGGTACCCAAGCCTTAGGGGCATCATTCAACCTTTGATACCCTAATTTCTGGCAGGGTTCCCCAGGCCGGCAGTGACGGGTAAAGGTAAATGGAGGGGTTTTATTTGTATTTCAAATGTAAATAGGAGATTCCTTCAGTGTGTAATACCCAGAGTGGGGGTGTCACAGCAAAAGTCTAATGGGCAACAGATAAATCCACAGGAGGATTGGGTTGAGAGACAGAGGCAGCCAGTTCCCCTAAGAATAGCAACCCCACCCCCTCCCTTGCCCACAGAGCTGCCCCTGAGGGCAGTCTCGGTTG